TACAGGAACTGCTACGGAAGAATAAAAAATCTTGCAAGGGTTTACAGTTTTTTCAACAGGGTATCTTGATAAGTCAAGATCTCTCTTTCTCTCTTTTGGAGGATTAGAACCTTTGAGGATTCCCTTGCACAGAAGAGGGGGACAAGAAGTGTGGCTAAAGCCACTACTCAGGTACAAGCTCGACTAAGCAAAATATTACGGCACCTTAAAAATGAAGATATTTGTTTCCATGTGAGCTTCTGTGGATCAGAATCCACTTCCACAGATACATGGACTGTTAGTACTATACCATTTGTATTTACACATGCCCCATGGTCAGGGGGGCCATGACCCACTGAGGAAACAATAAACAAAATGGCAGTGTTCCATTAACAAAGGCAAGGGCCTATGAAATGGGACTGGTCTTTTACGCCCAGCATGCTGAAACAAGACTAACACAGCTACTTCTTTGGAAATTACAAAGTATGGAGACATATATAAGTAAGCTTTTTGTTTGCTTTGAGGAAACCAAGCTGACCAGCCTCTGAGATAACCTTACCTTGAACCAAGTGACTTGAGGCTGAGGCCGTCCTGTTACCTTACAGGAAAATTTACCAGTCTGACCCTCTCGTACAATGACTCGATTGGGCTTCGTAGCAAACTTGGGAGGACATTCACCCCAAATGCTTGGTCGCTGCTCCACAGGGGGAACAGTAAGTCTACCACTGAAAAGAAAACAATATTATCAGAGCTAAACAATTAACACAACTTTATTGGAAAAAAAACCTCAAGTTGTTAATTCTTGAATCATGCTTCTTAACAGGTTTTAACACAGTGATGAAATAAGTAAAAGAAAGAAGTCAGTAGACAGTAATGTGCTCTTTTGTAAACAGATTTCCATTTCCATTTTGTACCAGAGGCCAGATACGTTATGCGGATACTTCTTATCCGGGCTGAAGGACACAGATATCCTTTGAAAATGATAGGAAGCAGAGACCTGTTTTCCCCCCAGATACTTCTTTTCGAGTGCTGGAAAGGAAAATGCATCACATGTTGCACACTTTGCCAAAACACAGATCTGGAACAATATATACTCTTCGTTTTGTGTTCTGTTACTCAAACCTACTTAATATAAGTGAAAATTAGCTAATTTCAGGATTATGAAGCTCGATTATGGAGTGGATCATGAAAAGGAGACACACACCCCTCTCTTTTGATAACATTATGGATTTTCTATGAAGGAAAACACCATTTGGCTGCATGGCTTCAACTCATATATGCATGACACACAAAAGCATGCTCTTCTACAAACTGGGGTCACAGGGGTAGGCGAAGTGCAGCCATCCAAGTCCTGTTGAACTGCAACTCCCAGCATTCTTCATCATTGGCTCTACTGGCCAAGACTCACGGAAGTTGCAGTCCAGCATTTTGAGGGCTGTCCTTCAACAACTCCTGATGATATCCCATATGCAACACTAAATACAACAAGGTCTAAATACAATGAATACAGTTTTTCTTCTTGGCCACTGCTCCACATCTTCACCGGAATCTCTGTTATTCAAATGCTGATTAAACTGCTATATCAGAACTATGTAACTGGGAACATACATTAGATGTGGGTGACTTTTCCTGGTTGCATCATTGGCCCCTTACTCCTATCCCTCCACCAGGTGGGCATTTGGCAACTGAGTGGCTGCCAAGGAAGAAACTCTGCTAGGGATGCTGTATTTTAAAAACCTGCTTTTAAACGATTTTAAAAGTTTTTCCTATTCTTTATTTAAATATGTTAATGGTATCCTGTTGCTTAGTGTAGCAAGCCCCACTACAGTAGGCCTTCTGATTCAGCGGAGATTTTGTGAGTCAATTTCTGTTGATACAAATGGGCCTACTCTGGTGTGAATTACTGTGCTAAGTGACAGGATTTCAGCCAAAATATTGAATTACTCCTTTCCAGTTCAGTGAAATGAGTACGCGGCTCATTGGGGAGAAAAGGGTTCCCAGCATAATTATGTTGTAAATGCTCAGAGTGCTCTAGTGCTATGGGGTAGTATATAAGTCAAAACAACAACAGTGTAATTTATTGCATATTAAAGGTGTATTTATCTTTTACATTTTTGGGTAGGCTGCCATAAGTCCTTTTCTTTGGGAGAATGACAAGATATAAATAAAATGAATGAATGAACTTCCCACGCTTCCCCTTGGATTCATTCAGAAAGGCCAGACTCTTTCAGAAAAAAAACACACCAAAACTAATTAAAGAAAAATCAGGCAATGAAAAAGTCATCCTTCCTTACAAGCCTTTATTTCACCCCTATCCCACGCCACCTAATGGAACTAAAGGGGGAAAGGTGGGGAGAGAAGGGGTCAAAGATCAACCAGGAGAGAACCAGTCTCCCATGGACAAACCTTGCCCATCCTTATCAGGAACATTTTCTCACTCCTATAAGAACTACCAAACTCTTTTTAAAAATCTGGAAATTTGTTTTGCAAATTTCTCAGGCAGCTGGAATTATGAAATAAATGTATACTAATTAGTAGCACTGCACGGTATTCAGATTCTACCCACTTGGCTGATCACTTAAGTTACTTCCAGCCCCCATCCCCAAAAGAGACAGAGGGAGAATGAGAAGTGGGGGAAGAGGAGCTTCAGAATTTTTGTTTCACATGACAATAGTAAAGACAGAAGGAATTTCACCATTCTTTTGGTGATAATAATCCTTAATGGAGAATACAACAAACATTTATACGAAGGAAACCAGGCATATAAGTACAAACAAATGAGCAGAGCAGAGATGGGCCACACCTTCCATAGTAAGAGTGATACTGGAAATGTTTTACAATTTCATAGCTGATGGGCATACTCTCTGTATAATTTAGAGTTTAAAAGGCAGATTGTAGTGCAGGGACATAGAGTAACATGAGCACATATCATGGATCTGCTGTATACGAAGGAAACCAGGCATATAAGTACAAACAAATGAGCAGAGCAGAGATGGGCCACACCTTCCATAGTAAGAGTGATACTGGAAATGTTTTACAATTTCATAGCTGATGGGCATACTCTCTGTATAATTTAGAGTTTAAAAGGCAGATTGTAGTGCAGGGACATAGAGTAACACGAGCACATATCATGGATCTGCTGCACTGTGGCTTGGCTGTGGTTCAGACACAATTCCTGGTACATTGGCTAGTTGCTTGCAGTGTGTCCCACTCAACTGATCAATGGACCGCCCAGTACAGTCACTAATCAATGTCTATCCCTGCAAAGTGCAATACCAAAACAGGCCTAAGCCATCATTTGACTTGAGAATACCTACTTGGTGATCCAGCATAGTTTTTGCATTGCTGTGGTTTACGTTTTTCTGCAAAATTTTAGGATGGTGATCCATGTCTCAGAACCCAACCATAAATATTCTTTTTTATTGACAGAGAGTTGAATTAGCAGCATTAACCTTGCTCTTGAGGGTGGGGGAGAGTGCTGGCCCAGCTCTGATCCTGTTTGAGGAACTCACAGAACAAATAACCATCTGCAATAATCTTTCTGTGATAAACAGTCTATAAACAGCAAAAGGACTGCAGTCCATGCAGATTGTGTTCTGCATCGGCTCTTACAGTGGCAAACTTCACAGACACACACGCACACAAAAGACACAATAAACAGTGCTGAATTTGAAGCTGTGGGTTTCAGGCAAACCAAAAATATTGCTGGACCCTGTGCAGTTCAGACAACAGCTTACCCATCAAGAAACAAGCCGTGCCCATCTCCTTCTGTTTCTGCAACACATTGCAAGGCCAGGTGAAATCATATATGACCTCCGCCCAAGGAGGAGTCACAATGGTATGAAGACTAGAATACCAGGAGACAATGTAGTAATTGTGTACATAATAAGGTCAGGGCAAAGGTTTCAGAAGACAGCTAGAAATACCAAAGGTCTCAAAAAGCTAGAGTGGTGGAAAACGGTGAGTTTTAAGCCCATAAGAACGGATTAATTGCATTTTAATGCGTTTCTATGGGCTTTTTTATTTCGCATTGCGACGTTTTAGTTCAACAGCGATTTCGCTGGAAGGAATTATTGCAATGAGAGGCACCACTGTATATCGTTGTAGTTTAGTTTCGTCCGACTCTTCGTGACCCCATGGACCAGAGTACGCCAGGCCCTCCTATCTTCCACTGCCTCCCGTAGTTGTGTCAAATTCATGTTGGTTGCTTCACAGACACTGTCCAACCATCTCATCCTCTGTTGTCCCCTTCTCCTCTTGCTGTCACATTTTCCTAACATCAAGGTCTTTTCCAAGGAGTCTTCTCTTCTCATGAGATGGCCAAAGCACTGGAGCCTCAGCTTCAGGATCTGTCCTTCCAGTGAGCACTCAGGGTTGATTAGCTTTAGAATGGATAGGTTTGTTCTCCTTGCAGTCCAGGGGACTCTCAAGAGCCTCCTCCAGCACTACAATTCAAAGGCATCAATTCTTCGGCGGTCTGCTCTCTTTATGTTCCAGCTCTCACTTCCATACATCACCACAGGAAAAACCATAGCTTTGACTATTCGGACTTTTGTTGGCAAGGTGATGTCTCTGCTTTT